AGTTAAGCGCGATGTTGGGAAAGAAGTAATTTATTCCTCCATACCTAACAGGTCAATTTACATGGATTGTCCAATTATTGAAAAGAACGAATGATCTGAGGGTGGTGACGACGAACACGTGGTGTTGCTAGACTTGATGGAGTGATTGTAGTTGTCCTTGCGCTATTGGGTTTCTTCGCCTAATTTAATAGCCCATTTCGAGTTCGAGAGCAAAAGTTATGAACTCGATAGAAAGAACGAAATCCTACCCTTGGTCTTACGAGGCTATCACATGCTTCCTACCTTTCGAGTTTTCCACTTCCAATTATCAGTTATCGGCTAAGGACATCGTTTCTCCGCTTTATCTAAGACTGAAATACCTAATATTTTTAAACAGAAATGACAGGCTAATATCTGTGCAGTCACATGGATATAAATCACTCAAGCCGTGTCTAATTTATAACAACTACTTGGCAAAAGTTGTAAACACGTCTTACAATATTAGACAATATTTTCATAATTTCAACTGGTAATATTTTGAAAATCTATGGAATAAATCGAATAGACATGATACAGTTATAAAATGTCAGGGGGGAGATAGCTGCTAGATTAAGAAGTGTTATTTGTCGTCTTGACAAGCACAAAATTATTTGGTAATGGTTAGGTCGAAATTGGTGTTCACTATTTGTCATACCAAGACGAGGGAATATTTTTAATATTTTAACTTAATGCCTTAAGTAATTTTAATTTACTATTGATGTTAGATTTTAATATACTCGGGAACAAACGCTAGTTTTAATAGGCAATATACGTCTTGCACCTTTGCTACCTTGTTTTAAAAATTGGAGTAAGAAATACCCACCTTTTTTTATAGAGCGAGTAATTTATTAATTCAAATTATTAATTTTAGCTTACTTAATGAATTAAAAGTGGGGTACTGAAATTTTTATTTAATTTTTTCGATTAAGTTTGTTAGAACGTTTACGAGTTAAAATTAATAATCAAAAAAATAAATTCTTTCATTTTCTGCCTGCGTAACTATAATTTCTTATAATATATTAACATTGATAATAAAAATATAATTAAACTGTGATCAAACTATAAAAAGCATGTAAACTGTTTTCAAATCTATTTAACTCAACACTTCAGAAACATATTTACAATAAAAAATTTACTTCATACTTTGTAGACGTTTAGAGTCTAGTGCTATCTGGCCACCCTATCCAAAATATCTTCATACCGTATTTAAAATAGTTCGAACTCTCTTTTGAAGATATGCTGCTTTTAATTTTATTTAAATCCCTTCCACAGATATTTTTTTATGCTCATTCAACCTGCTACCTCTTCGAAGGGAGCAAACTGATTCCCTTTTCCTCTAATATAACAATAATCGTTCTAATAAAAGATTATTGAATATTTCATTTGATAACAAGAAATGGATAGAAATACATAAATAATCGAGTAGGCAAGGAAATTCCGTCTGCCGGAAGATGGCCTTAGCAATTGCATTTATGAATACATTTTATATATATATATATATATATATATATATATATAAATTAACAGAAAAATCTCTCCACAAACAAATAAATGGTGTATGGTCTACAGCGGTGATACAATGAAAAAAGTGTAAAAAGATATCCTTTCATTTGTTTTTCTTAAAAATTAAATTCATGAACCAGATTTTTTTCTGCACATCTAAGCTGCTCTGGTGACAGTAAATCATTTTTTAAGTAATCATTTACAGCTTCTAAGAAGGCAGCAAGACTTTTTCTTTGTAAGATCGAAGAAAAGGATAACATTAGCAATGTCATGTTTTTGTGTTAAACTCTTCCATGTAGAAGCCTAAAATTATCTTTCATGATGCGTGCGCCATAACCTTTGGTAGCTTGTATGATGGTAAACATGATAATCGAACCATACATGTATTTGAAGTGAGAGTATAAACAAAGATTGCATCCAACTCAGTCACTAATATATAGTTATTCAGATATCGTGAGATGCGGTCGGGTGTGATGTAGGTTTCAGAAAAACATTTTCTTTATCGTGCCAACGTTTCGATCTTTTATTGCGATCATCTACAGGGCTCAAAGTGTTTGTCTTCTGTGTAATTGTGCCATCCTTGCGTGTCGTGTTGAGAGTGCCCAGAAGACAAACACTTTGAGCCCTGAAAATGATCTCAATAAAAGATCGAAACGTTGGCACGATAAAGAAAATGTTTTTCTGAAACCTACATCACACCCGACCGCATCTCACGATATCTGAATAACTATCGATTAACGGTCACTAATCTCTACACACTAATATATAGGTTGGGGAGAAACAATTTACGAACAAAAAATCATTAACCCTCTCGACATCCAGCAAATATTGAAGTCCCCAAACTTATGAAGCGAAGCTTACTGAAGAATTGCTCAGGATACTGAGTTAAATACTCGTAGTTTGGCACTTGAGGGATTAAGTTATTGCTTCTCCTCTATAAACTTATCGAAGCCCCCAATTGCTCAGGCTAATCACCTTCAATGTCAACTCTCACAAAACTGGAATTACCCTTTCATGCTCAGTCCAAACTCAAAGATATAATTATTTACTTCACTCTGGCATCTTTAGAATTTTTAACTGTTGTCTTAGCATTTTTATAACTTTAGATTTTTGTTGTTGTTGATGTATCTTTGTAAATGGGCTTCTTGCCCGTCTATATTAATAAATAAATAAATAATAATGTGTAATGGAACCCACAGTGTCCAAAGAAAATTTATAATTATTAAATTCAATTGAAATAACATTTTAACTACAGTTTTAAACTCACGAATTATCTGGATCTTGGAAGAAGCAACTTCAATTGTTACTTCCACGTTTTCGATCTATTTTAAGGTTTCATCAGGGCGAACAATCTTAAATATGTCTACAAATTGATATAATTAAAATGATTAAACTATTTATCATTAATCATTAAACTATTAAAAAACTTAATTATGTCAAAATGTAGACATATTTACGGTTGTTTTGCCCTGGTGATGACCTTAAAATTGGTCAAAAGCATGGCAGTAATAAATGGATTTATTTCTTCATCCAGACCATACCACGTGCGTTTTAAATTTCTTAATACATATACTACAGCGTAACTATATCAGAATAAGACAAATACTCTATTTCAAATGATTTTTATTAATTTAATTTAGTGGTAAAATATTTCACAATCTGGGTTGTTGGTTAAGAAAAATACCAATTATATTTTGTGCCATATATTTCAAACACTCTCCATTTCATGCCACGTCCCTGCACTCTCTACAAAGCTGTTATTTGAAGAAAAATAGAACACTTCTAATAATCTATTTTGCTATTGTATTGGACAAAAGGTGTGATTGTGTTAATAAAGGGACCAACGTATAAGAATAGTTATACGTGGATATATAAATACATGGAGAGTTGCGTGAATAAAAATTAAGATAGATTTTAATATAAACATTGATATGCAATTGTAGAGATTACATAAATGTGGATTATGGTATAAAAGATGGACCGAAATGTAAATGTACGAGTAAAATTAGATAAAGATGTATTATTCAATATCCGTATGAATGAAAAGAAAAGATACATGTCCTAATAAATATGTGCATAGGTGCGATAATATGCTTGTAGATATCTATAAAGTCAACTGATTGATTACTGTAGAGACCATGTATTATATGAAAATATAGAAAATATGTGTACATAAAATAAATACAAATGAATTAATGAAACTAGGGTAAGATAAAAACATAATATATATTTTACATGATTAAAATAAAAATAGATAGTTGTAAATAATAATAGAGTTACTAAAATTTCTAAAATAATATCCATATATTAAAGGAATGCATGTTTACACATATATAAATTTATATATGTTTAGTAGTCATAATAGATGTATTAATTATTTTAATTAATTATACTTTTTTAATCGTCTATATTCATGTGTTAATGTACTACTATTCTTATACGTTTATCCTCTTCATCATAAACACTTTAGACTAATACGACAGCAGACAAAGTTTATTAGTCCCATACTACGTCATCAACTTTCAAATTAGACCCAATGAACTAAAAAAGAAGCGACGTTTATTTTGCTGAATTTAAATACATTATGTTTAAAGTCGTAATCACTGTAGACAAAATATATAAATAGTTATATAAATAGAGCGTGTGTCTATATGTGAGATGTGAGTGTGTGTGTGTGTGTGTGTGTGAGAGAGAGAGAGAGAGAGAGAGAGAGAGAGAGAGAGAGAGAAAGATAAGATAGATGAAGAAAATTTTTATTTCATATTATTTAACAAATATTCATATTACAAAATATATATATTTAGTAGTCATAAAATTGACCTTTTAATTATTTTAATTAATTATACCTTTTATCTACGGTCTAAGTTGAGATGAAAAATTTAGTGTCATGAGCGGGATTCGAACCCACAATTTGAAAGGTTGTACAGGTTAAGATAATGTAGTTGGTGTCCGAATGGAAGCCACGATAGCTCAAATAGTAGAGCAGTGGTGTATTTAGCCGAAAGAAGTGGGTTCGAATCCCTCTCGGGATACTAGTTTTTCATTTCAACCAAGACCTTAGATAAAAAGTATAATTAATTAATATAATTACAATTAAATATAACAATTTTTGTTTTTAATAACAAATTGTTTTGTGTGAAATACAGGTATTTAGCAAATATAGAATACTAGTGTACTAATTTGACAATTTTGAAAATGAATTTTCCGTGTTCAGAATTATAGCATTTCGATTTCAGGTATCACTAGTCCAATTGTGACAAGAAGAAAAAATAACGATGTGTGAGAAAATTTTTAAATAAAAAATAAATGTTCCCGAAGGAACGAAACCTAATCTCAAAGCATTTTTTCTAATATATGGACCATTTAAAAATTAACAAATACACAAACAATGAACAGCGTTCGGGAACGTGGCGAAGTTCAAGTGGGGGTTGGTGAAAGGGGGCCTCCCTTCCGAGGAGTATAAAAGCTTTAGTCTGCCCCTCAGACAGCATCAGTCAGCTAAGGACTAACAAAGGACATCACCAGCAATGGCATTCAAGGTGAGGCGATTCGGAGTATTTCGAAGTTTGCAGTACCCAAGGGCGGTAATTAACAATGACAATACTAGCTACTACAATGAGCCAATGTATACCTGACAATACTCTATTGTAGGGCAAAAAATTCCAAGAGAACATGGGTTCAAATTAGAATTCAATTTTGGCCACCGTAGTTCAACAAATTGGAATTTAATTTTTTTCAAATATCAGGAAGGATTTAAATTCGATAAGAGGGAAACGGGAAAGTTTCAATATCCGTAAAATTAAACTTGCCTTTAATAAATTAATTATTGTCAATAGTTAAAACATGCAAAAAAAATATATAACGGCGAAATAAATTTATTTCTTACGAGTGAAAATAATACAATTTAGCAGAATATTGCCTCCACCAATAAAAAATCATGGACGTCATAAAACAAAACGCAGACACGAAGGCCATAAAATAATATTATCAATTAATTTTTAAATCTTGGTTTGAACGCCAAAAAATGTTGCTTGTTTAAACTTTTATAAGATGCTAAAAATATTGCGTTCTAATAAATTTATAGTTTATAAAAATGTATATTTGTATTTAAGTTTCTTTTCTTTCCTTTTAGCATACGCCTTTCATGAATGGATACAACAAAACAGACCTATTAACATGTGTAGAATTGAAGAGTGCACAGGAGAATAAATCAATATGAAATTTATAATTTCAAATTTTCACTTTTTCTGTATAGCTTTTGTCTAGTTTGACAATAATTTTACCGAGTTTATTTTGAGTAATCCACCAGTTATAATTTTTATAGGAACAAAAAAAACTGAATTTAAAAAAATGGTTTATCTTTGGTTTTCGCTAAAATCCGTACAGATAAAATTTTTCCTGAAATGTAGCTAAAGATCAGTTACATTTAGTGCTCCAAGCAATTCATAAAAGTGAGATGTTGATTTAAAATCGGTGCACTAGTATCAAATGTTGAGGGAGTCCAAAGAACTAGTTTCGTTTTAAATTTGGTCACCAAAGAGTTATAGGGCACTAAAATATGATAGAGCAAAAATTAAATTCAAAAACGTCTTCAATGACTAAGGGATGTGGATGACGCCAACTCATGGAGGTAAATAAGTTTGTTTTGTTGCAGTTTTTGGCTTTCGCAGCTTTCGTCGCTGTAGCTAGGGCTGGAGTAGTCCCAACTTACGGAGGACACGGATACGCCGCCCCCTTGGCTTACGCCGCCGGCCCGGCTTACGCTAAAGTCGCCGCCCCCGTCGCCTACGCCGCCCCTGCAGCTTACGCCGCCCCCGCCTACGCTAAAGTCGCCGCCCCCGTCGCTTATGCCGCCAAGGCTGTCGTTGACGAATACGACCCCCATCCCCAGTACTCCTTCGCCTACGACGTCCAGGACGGACACACCGGTGACTTCAAATCCCAGCACGAAAGCCGCGACGGAGACGTCGTCCACGGCAGCTACTCCCTCGTCGAACCCGACGGTTCCAAGAGGACCGTAGAATACACCGCTGACCCCCACAACGGATTCAACGCCGTCGTCCACAAAGAAGCCGGAGCCCACCCTGTCGCTAAAGTCGTCGCCGCCCCTGCCTACGCCAAGGTTGCCGCTCCCGTCGCCTACGCCGCCGCCCCAGCATACGCCACTCATGCCTACGCCGCCCCTGCCTATGCCAAAGTCGCCGCTCCCGTCGCTTACGCCGCCGCCCCCGCATACGCTAAAGTCGCCGCCCCCGTAGCGTACGCCTCCCCCGCCTACGGATACCACCACTAAGACTTAACGACGCCAAAGTCGATTCGTTCATCATTCATTTTTGTATTATAATTCAAAATACACCATCTTCCTAATTTATATCTTTTCGTCATTCTTCAGTGTAGTGAGTAGTGAATGTGTTATGGCCACTCATGAGCATGGACAGCTCTTTAACAAAAATTTTTAAATTTTTCAGGCATAAAACATCTCGATTTTCAGAAAGAAAACATCTAAGTTCGAAACATTTCTCCAATGGGGAGAACAAGTATTCACTCCTGATTCCACCCATGACAGCATACAAAACATTGAGTAAAAATCACACAACTGACGGAAACCATTGACTGACCAAAACAGCGAGGTAGCCAGACCAAAATGATCAGAAACGTCCAAAGTGCAGGTTCACACTCCGCACACATCCTGAGGAAATCTCACAGTACATACAAGGCTTCTTGGAAGATATAAATTTTGATCGGCAAAATATAATACGACGTAGCATTAATCTTTTTTCAAAACGTTAAACTATTTAAGAAAAAATATTGCATCCGGAAAAGCAGCAAAAGATGATAAAACTTTATTGCACTTGAAAATGAGAGATAGAAAAGAAAATTTTCAATTTATTATGGCATAGTAAGCGTGGATTAGGTATTTTTATAAAATTAACACAATTAGTTAACACTCATACTATCAATCCAAAATTTTTACATAATTACCCTCCTTAAGAAGATAACAAAGAATCAAATCAATTTTCAAACAATCAATTTTCCCCATTGTATTAAGCTCTATTATTTATGATAGTTAAAATTATAAAGGGGACTTGATTAAGTAACGTACACACAGATCACATGGCACTAAAGGCGAAATGGATTTTTTATCTGACATCTCAAAACAGTGAGAATTAGCAAACCAAAATGACCGGAAACGACGCAACTGCAGGTTTATCAACCCATAGAAAACATGTGGAAAAATCTCAATTTAAAATACAAATCTTAGACACAAAGATTTTATAGGCGAAATCAAATACGACTTAGTGTTGATCAAGTTGTAAAATTTAACGAAATGTTGCATCCGGAAAAGTATGGCAAAAAAAGGTGAAACAAAAACAACGTGAGGAGATGAGAATAGCCACATTTCAAAAAGTCACAACATCCATTTTGTAAAATGGTACTTATTATGTATATTCGTAAACCTAACCATGATTACTCATGCTATTAACTTTTACATTAAGTTTCAAGCAAAAATATAGCTTGATCGTTTTCAATCATTCTAGTCTTCTAAACTAAATAAAGTAACACACAAGCGCACTGAAGATATCAAATCGTCGAAGATAAGCAAACAAAAATAGTCGGAAACGATCAAACTACTGAGCCATCACCTCGTAGACCTCAAGAAATCTTCCGTGGTTGTTTTAAATTATGAACACAATTGAATTGATCAGCCACGCTTCATAGCACTTATCATATTGGTTTCACCCTTCTACCGCACATTTTTTGAAAGAAGAAACCAAATGGTGTAACGTCATTAACTTCCTCTTGCCCAACAGGGGTTGTGGGAAGATGTTAGAACAATGACTATCTCTAGGTTCTTGAGGTTCTTGTTATCTAGACCTTGGGTGCTATTGTTTCCCAACCGATCAATCAATAAAATGATATTGCTTTATGAAAGTCAGCAGGTGACGAAATAAAAAATAGGTTCATGGTTTTTTTTATATAATTAATTTTTAATCCTATGTAACCTTACTGTGACAAATGTGATGGCAAAGTCATATACATATTTATCTTTACTTTATTATGCTGTACTGAACAATTGGTCATTCATATTTAATAAGGTAACTAGTATAATAAAAGATTTATATACGTTTAAGAAATCAACTATCTGATAGTCTTTAAACTTTGACAATAGTCGTTTACTCTAAGTCAGCATTTTTCTTGGCTGTGAAAACACTGGACAACTTGTATTTAATTAAATAAGAAGTTATATTACTATAAGTTTGCTCGGGAGGATAATAGTTTTATTTTGAATATATATAATAATAATATAATTAACAGTATAATATAATTAACATAATTGCTAGATATAGATGTATAGCTATGGTAGGTTTCCAAATAAATTAGGTATTAGTAGATAGGAAATGAAACGTCTGGAACTGAAAGGTGAAGGTGGGTGAGCTGGGAGAGGTGTAGTACCATCGCTGAAACTCATAAAACCGTGTGTTAACGATATCTTGAATGCTTGACGAAAAACAGTAAAACTTATTTGCTTTCTGTCATTACCATACAATACTGTCAAAAGATTAATACTTCATTTATCAAATGATTTGAAACAATCGCTGATTTCTCGCATCTAACATAAATTATTTTCTCTCCAAATCGACGGATCAACTGACGTAGCGGGTTGGTTATTTCGTTGGCTTTGATCCGTTATGAATACTCGGGATGTTTCGAGGAGGATCTCTTGTGCAAACCACTTCCTGTCAATGCAACAGGTGCCGAAATATTCCTTTTGTTTTTACAACTTACGAAATTCCTTGATCTAATTGCATTGACGTGTGCACAGATGGTGCAAAAGCAATGACTGGCCGAATGATCGGGGTGATTATTAAAATAAAAGATAAATCGAAGGATTTCAGCAGCAGTCGTGTTTTCCACAGACATGCTTTAGCTTTGAAACAAATGCCAGCCTGTTTTAAGAAAGTTTTGGATGAGTGTTCAAATTATTAATTATATCAACTTGCGGGCATTGAAATCAAGACTTTTCATACTATGTGATGATATGGGAAACCTTCGTCAATCCCTGCTTCTTCGTACAGAAGTGAGATGGCTATCTCATGGGAAAGCACTTTCACGATTTCAGGAATTACGTTCTGAAGTCTTATTTCTGTTGATAGACCACAATATCAAATTGGCCAATATTTTCAATGATAATAAATGGCAATATATACTGACATAAGATGTTTTCATAAAAATGAATGGGTATTTCTTTGCAAGGGAAGATTATCACGTTCGATGCTAAAAAAAGTTTGCATCTTCAAAAGAAAAATCCAGTGTTGGGTTGAATCTGTTGAGGAGGAATGGGAGTAGTGTTTTCCTGTGTTAAATGAATTTTTTTAAATTAAACAAACTGAAGCTTGTGAACGGCAAGTTGATTGATGAAATATATGAACACCTTCGAAGTTTGGAGAAGTCAGGATAACAAAAACAAACATAGAATCCTCCATCGCAGAATGGATCCAAACAAAACAAAGAGAGAAGTGGATAAACTCTAGCAGTGCTAGACATAGTAAACTTATGATGAAACAACCCTCACCAAAATTGGCAAAAACACTGCTGCAATTGGAGAGGGCAAAACTCAGAGGAGTGGTGGGACTATCTGAGAAAACATCTACACAACATGGGTATATACAATGAACCCATTTGTAGATTATGTAATGAGGAGGAGGAAACAGCCACTCATATCATCTTCGAATGCGAAGCAACAGCTCAATGGAGGTTTAACCTAACGTATGAAAAAGACTCAGGGAACTGAATTGCAGCAATAACAGTCAATGACCTGATACTTCTAAGAAGAAGGATTGAGTCTATTGACTGAACTAGGGAACTGGGAAGATACAATAAGCCAGAAGGCTGCCTAGGGAATACAAGCCCCGCTTCCCAGTATCCTTTCCACCACACCATACCATACCATTGGAGATGTCCTTTGAGCACTACTTCCCAACAGCTTGAGATACAACTTACCTACCGAATCCGTTTTTCTGTCTATACAGCCACTAAAACTAAATACCAAAACTGTCTAGATGCTGAATGAGACATCCGCCTTCAGGTATCAAAAATTAAACTCAACATACCTAAATTGTGCAAGGTAAAACAACCTCACTTTTTCCATTAATTCATTAATCATTAATGTTCAAATTATTACTTTTGAATTTGGCTCGAGTTTTACCTACCTGTTGATTCTGTTCTGTCCTATTTGATTTTTGTGTTCCGAACTTTGCAAAAATAAAATTAAGCATGTCAATTTAATGTTTGTTTTGAGGGGTCCCCCTGGATTTAGTTCTGTGAAAGGAGTCCTATGGCTAAAACTTTTGGGAAACTCGGATCTAGAGGGATGATCTCCTTTCTTTGAAAGCCTATGTGAAGGTTTAATGTATGTGGCCTTAGGGTCCTTTACCAAAGATTCCGCCAATTTGGACTTATCTTTTCCACCTCTCATTGGTTGCCTTTGTTTCTCGTCTTCTTTTTGGAGGCTATAAGCAATTCTGAAAATATTGTCCTTTCTGTGATACGAAGGCAGACATAGCTTTTCCTTAAACCTCTTTAACCTCTCGTAATCTGCCTGTTTCGGTTTCATGAAGTCCATGAACAACTTTATCCTGTGAGACCATTCCAATCTTGTAAAGGAAGATGATGTGAATTTGATAAATATTTCAGAGTTTGAGGGCGTCAATTCAATAAATATTTACAATTAGATTAGCGAGCACAGTCTACTGGCATTGAAAAACTTTATCTGGTTAGGATATATATAAGTATATTTTTGTAATTTCTTAGTTAATTAGTGTGCTATGCAAGACAGATAATGTTGTCCTAGTGCTGTCAGACTGCCAATCGTACAACCTCACATATCACTTTTTCCTTTTCTATCTATCAATCCTTACCAAATTCCTCAAGTGAGAACTGCTTAGATGAGGGATGTGTGGTTAGAAGGAAGACTACTTAAGCAAACTCTGGTTTAAATGACAGTCTTCCTCACCATGTGAGCACTGTGGGGTTTACTGTTTTGACAGGTTATCCTAATCTCCATCTACTTGGCTATTCAATGGAATCCATACAGATCCAAATTTTAAACAGAAAGAAACAGAGGCCGTAAACCTAGCAGCGAAGAGAAAGAAAGCCGTTTAAAAGCCCTCCCAGCTATCACGATGGATATTTCAAAGGGGACAGAGCAGCAGACTCCTGGAAAAGATTGGAATATTCAAGAATTAGAGGGCATCAATCCACTAAATATTTATTGTCACAAATGAATCATAAATATAGTTATAAGAGTTAGTAATAGAAGATAGTTTATATTATTGACTTGTACTAAACAGAATTGGCCATGCCGTGATA